TAACAGCGGACAAGTTTCAAGATAACCAACTGATGCTGTGGGCTACAAAGCGGCTTGGCCTGCTGCACGGGACTCTAAAAATAGCTAGCGCTCGTTAGAAAAGGCTAAAAATAGCCGCAAGTTGAAGCGCGACGACGACGGCGACGCGTTCGCGTTGAGCAAATAAAAAATAAACGTAATAAAAGAGCTGCTGGAAAAGCAGCGCATACTGGAATAGCAGCAGCATGCGCCTATAAAAAAGGTAAGCAAATACTGCGAGTGGGTACGGTGAACCGAATCCTGGCGTCAGGTGGGTGCTAAAATAGACTTTAACTAATACTTATTCACTCTTAGCAGAACTTAATGTTAGGGCAAAGACCGAGGTCCCTTAATTACAGAGCATTTACTTCTCCCAGCTGTTAAATGAAACAGTACGACATTATGTAATAAACAGTTGATAAGCGCTGTAAAGCTTAACATACAATGTTAAACAATTTGTTTATGTAATTACTTTACATGTTTTGTTAAAGTTATATGTTACTTTTAATATCAAATACTTGTTTAAAAGAACGTTCAAAACTTTTTGTTAAGGCAAAGTACTGTAGATAATCATAGAGCGAGATCATTACAGAGAATTATAAGTAATTACATAAACAAAATGTCTGCTGTTAAACAAAACAGTATCACCTTGAGCAACTGTTGATTGGAGCTGTAAAGCTCAACATAATGTTAATGCTTTGACTCTCTTATTTACATTTTGTTTATGTAATCAATATACAGATTTCTGTTAATGTTAAAGGTTGATGTTAATATTAAATAACATTACTTAAACATAACTTTTAACTTTTCTGCAGTGGTTTTTCGCCATAATTGCAGGGTATTTTAAAGTCCTGCGTGGCCTTGAGCTACTCTTCTAGCTGCTGAACTAGTTTAATGTGCAGAAGAACAGGTCCGACAGTGGCTAAAATTCTAAATAACTCTTGCTAAGCTTATTTTCGCTCAAGAATTGAACTTTTGTTAGTTCTCTAACTCTTTCAGCTAGCTAAAGGATGAAGGATAAAGATCTAAACCAAATCAAACTGATTAAAATGAAGAAAATTGCATTATTATAATCGTTTCGATTTGATTTAAATATTTAAAATATACTCCATATACATTTTATAATATAATATTTATTTTAGCCCCTTAAATTCTGAAACTTTTCTTTTTAAGTCCACAAAATAATTTCCAACAATTAAGTTAAAGTTCAGTGGTATTTTGGCAATGTTTACATATGGCAAACAAGAGCTAAGATCACGCATGAGAATGGGTTGGATGTGCGTGGGGGGGTGGGCGGAGGGGTAGGGGGCTGGCCAAGAGCCAAGCAGACAATGCCAAAGCGGCTGCCATGGTAAACTGAGTAAATCAAATCAAACTAGAGGCAAGGGGCAGCAGCAATAATAACAAAAATACCAACAACAACAACAACAACAAACGCCACTTCAAACAGACAACAACAACACAACACACACTGGCCAAAGGGGAGTAAAAGTAACAACGGCAAAGCTATGGCATGTAAGAGACAAAAAAAAAATAACAAAAAGAAACCCAATAACATAAAAGCTAAAGAATTTTTGCGCTAAAGGATGGCAGGCGACTACTGCTGAGGGGGCTGAGCAAGCGAGTGCATGTGTGTGTGTGTGTAAGTAGAAAAACCCGCTTACAGCAGCAAAAACGGCGGCGGCAACGCCAAGTGACGACCTTGATAAGTTTCGCACACACATACCCACTCACACATAAACACACGCACACACACAAGCAGCGCAAAACTGCTTACGAAAAAGGAAGGGCTGCCAAGGAGCGCACGAACAGCCTTTGGGGGCAATGAAAGAGGCCCGCGCGCACACACATTTTGCGTGCGTGTGTGTGTGTTTGTGTGTTTACAAAAGAGGGGAAGCAAAAAGGGTAGGCACAAGTATCACACCACAATCGATGCTCCCATGGTGAGTTTTGTCAAGGCGCTCTCTCTTGCGCGCTCTCTCTCTTTCTCTCTGTCGGGCATCAACAAGTGGCTGCTGCTCCTGTTCCTAACTCAATTCGTTTTTGTGTGTCTTTGCGGCGCTCTTTAATCAACATCGCATGGTGAGCTTTTTGTTGTTATTGCCTAATGTTGTACAATTGTACATGTTGTACTTAATACACAGTATGCACATACATATGTATTAGCGCACATACATATTATCATGCTCTGCGTTTTATTATTGAATTTCTCAAGTCGTCAGCCTGCTGACGCATATAAGAACGCCAAACAAATGCGACCGACCGCTTGTCTGCCTGAATTGGCGCTCTCTCTCCCTCTCCGGCTCTCTCTTTCGTTTGCTCTCTTTGACAAGAGCGCTGCCAATCAGCTGTAAATCAGCTTGAGATTCAAATTGAATTAATATTATTAAATAAATTCGCTTTTAATATTGATGTGCTTAGGTATATGTACTCTCTATATACTACGTGTGTATGTGTGTGTGTGTGTTTGTGTTTAGTAAATGGAAAATTTTTGTTACCCATTGGGAATGTAGTGTATGCAGCTAAATCAATGCAAAAAGCTACAGCAGCAAAAGCAACAACAACAACAACAACAACTTTAAAATGATCGTGCAACGTGCCTGAAATTATAAAATACAAATCAACGCGGAACCCGCGAACAGAAAACCGGCGCTGCACTTGCTGCGCCTGCCACACACAACCGGCTCAGATCAACAGACAGACGGACGGACGGACGGGTGGACAGACGGACGGGCGGACGGTGCAACGTCTAGTTTGAGTTTTGAACGACAGGCGAACACAAGAGACAACCCATAATTAATCAGACTGCCAGGCAACATTTTACAATTTACAATGTACAGCCAACCAAATTGCAAATTCCAAGCAGATCCTTTATCCAATAATTACAACAAACACAACAACAACAACGAATACCGTGAAAGCTCTGTTAACGATATTCCTTTTTTATTTATCATTGAACTCTTCAATAGAAATTGTCCGCTCAGGAATGCATCAATAACTAGTTTGTGGTTTATCTAGAAGGTATTTTGTGAATAACATTTTTATTGACACACTCTTACTCTTCATATTGCGTTTTTAACACTGCGACGTTCACAATAGATATAATTTGATTTTTTTTTTTTCATTCTTTCTTAGCCAAATCCATGTGTGAAAACAAGTTTTCAAACATTAATTCGCATATTTTTACAAATTATATTAAAGCTCATACATAAAGACAGAACAATAACAATAACAACAACAACAACAACAACAACAACAACAACAGCACGAGGAACAAGCATTTATTTCGTGTACTGTGAAAAACTCGTTTTGCTTGTAAAACTATTTAACAATTGTGATGCCAAAAACAAATAATAATAAATAAATAAATGTGTATTTGCTAGAAAAGATTAACATAGCATTTGATGACAAAGGTGTGGAAGAGGAGATTTATATCGAAAACTAAAAACCCAATCAAAGTAAAGTCGATGAGTAAAGACTTTGGCTAACAAATAACAAATTAATCTTATTAATATTTCAATTGATTTTTGTTTTAATGTTATTTAAAGCTTTGACTAAAAGAAAAACGTAACTTTGCCAAGGAAATAAGTATTACAAACTTAAGAACTTAATATTTACTTCCTTGAACTTAAGATATGCATACATAATCTTAGCTTATGCTTATCGTTGAGCTTAGCTCAGCCTCATAACTAAACTCTGAGTAATGCTATCGATAAATAGTTGCATCAACTTATTTACATGCACACATATGTATATACCTATCGATGTGTGTGTGTGTGTGTGTGTGTATTTGTGCTTTTCTCGCAACAGCTTCTGGATTATTACTCTCACAACACTGTCCAAAAAAAAAAATGTTAATTTGATTGGCCCTTAAACGTATCGTGCAGTGTAAGCTAATGATATGGAAAATTTGTGTACTTTTCTGTGCAAACGAATAAATTAAAATAATAATAAAAAAAACCCCGAGTAGTCAAAAACAACAACAGTGTTGAAAAGATTCCAGCACAAAGTTATAATTTAACTGTTACATTATCGTTGCATGTGTATGTGTGTGTCTGTGTGTGTGTGTACATACTCTAAATAATATTACCGTTTGTGTTTTATTCACTCATGTGAGGTAACTATTCAATTGCCCATGTAAGTGGCGAACAGAGCGCACACATGCATGCATACAGTCTGTGTGCATGCATACACTGGCCCTGAGAGCAAATAAAACATCAGTTTACAACACGCACAGCCGAAGCTTAGCTTGCAAGAGAAGCCTGCGAAAAGTACCACATATAAAACTGTTCTACTGCTGTTCTACAGCAACAATGTATCTGTTACGATCAGCAGCCCACTTGCTGCGCCTCTCTTCCTGTCACAAATGAGAGCAGCTCAAGAGAGCACAGCATGTGGGGAAGTGTCATTGATCCACCACGTTTAGGCAATGATTCTCGCTCTTTTCTGCTATCAGTCGCCGCTATCCGGCTGCTGTTTGCTGTATAATGTGCGAGCGCAGGGGGGTCGGGCTGCTCGTCACTTGATTTGATGAGCACTGCGCTGCGGCTATGCTGCAATCAAAGTACACAAACACACATACACACACTTATACACACAGCCCTAGGGGCAGAGCTTGGGCTTTTTCCAATATGCAAAACAAAACTATTAAAGTGGATAGACAAGTTTTAACCAGCGCCAAGCGTGCTGATAAAGCAGTTTGCGCTGGTCAAGCACACAACAGACAGTTTGTAAGAGAGGGGAGAGTTGCACATAGAAAGCAAGCACACACACACACACACACTCGCACACACACAAACAGAGGGCAGTTAGTGGTAGCGGTTTAGGCTCAGCCTTAATATCCATAAAGGCTCGATAAAAATAACTCAGCATTGCCTGCAATCAATTTTAAAATAGACCCAGCAGCGAAGAAGAAGAAGCAGCAGAACTAAAGGAGAAGAACTAGCCAAAGGCCGACAAGCAGCAAGGCAATTTCAACTTACCGCTGCGCTCCCGCGCCGCACAAGTTCAAGGCCAAGTGGCCACGGCGCCTCCTCTCTGTCTTTTGCTGTGCTCAGCTGCGCTCTCTATCTCTCTTTTTGCGATTTGCGAGCACTGTATATATATTTGTGTGTGTGTGTGTGTGTTGGCGTGCGTATGTGTGTGTATGGTTTTTTTTTATGCGCAACCGTTTGCATGCAAAAGAACTTTCGTTTTCAAGTACATGAACCGCCAGCACCTCCTGTGTTTATTGTTATTGTTATTGTTGCTGTTGTTGGCTGTTTTCTTTTTAGTGGGACGCGCGCGTTGGGCACAATGGGGTTAGTCGCGGTTGTTTATAGAACGCGTAACATTTTCTTTTTTGCTGCCAATTCAACAAACCCACAAAATTTGTATATGTTATTTGCAAGAGTGCACACTCGAGCCTGAGGCTGGCGGCTTTGTAAATTAATTAACAACACTCAAGCTTACACACAGCACACACACGCACAGGCACACGCACACTTAGCCATATCAAGCGAGCGCGCGCGCCGAGATAAGCAAAGCAATTTATTTGCACTAAAATTTTGCTTTTTGCACGCCGCTGCTGTTAAGGGGGGGGTGGGCGGTGGAATGTTGGGGGAGAGCCTAAATTCACCACACACACAATCGCACACACTGGAATTCGTCGCAGCAACACACACTGGCAGCCCGACGTAAACGCACGTTTCTGTTACAAATGATTTGCCAAATTTTGGAATTTCTGTTCACTTGTCCCGAGCACTGCGATAAGTTGCGACGCAATTGGTTTTTAGTTGCGTTAAATAATTTGTTTAGCTTGTTAGTTGAATTTCACAGAATTTAGAAACAACCAGAGACAACGCAAAACCAGACGACACCGCGATTACGAGGCGCAACAACAAATGGTGAGCGTGGAGAGAGCCACGATTGCCAGAGTTGCCAGGTCGGGAGCTTTTTCTTACGCCAAAAAAGCTTATCGTTGGTGTTGGAAAACGTTCAAATCAGCGCTAAGCAGAAACACATGAGACTAATTTATTTTACTGATAACTAAATTACACACTATTTTAGTATTAATTAAAGCATGGGCAAATTGGCCTTTAACGCATCGAATTCCGAACGATCCAGAGCCTTTAAATTGGTACCTGAGAAGGGGGATTTGAACTCGACGTCGCGATGTTTGTTTACCAGAATCTTCTGCTCGGAATATATCACATTGATTTGCTGATTGATTTGTTCCTGATCTGCAAATCGAACTGATATATATGCATGTACGTATAAATAATTATAACTATTTACCTTTTTTGAGCAGCTCCATGGCCCGTTCTCGCTTCATTTTGACCAACATGCTGCCTATGGTTATCCAAACTTTTGGTTCCTCAGATTTCTCAATCAGACGGAGTGCTTCCCGGGTTTGCTGGCGCCGTTTGTCCATTACCGTTAACTCCTGCTTGTTGACCAGGATCTTATCGGCCAGCTCCTCCGTCTTGGATATTATCTCAATGCTTTTGCTCAAATCCGTTTGCGACATGTTTGGCAATTTTATTTTTTTACTTGTGAAATAGGCTGAGAAGCCGACAAAACGTAAACAAAAGAAATTAAGGTGACCAGAGTGCACTAAATTAGGCAATATTTATGCCCAATGTTGGTTACTCTAACAGCTGTTTGCAACATTTTCAACATGGTCACCTTTTAAACAGCTGTTAATGAGGTGAGAGTAAGGAAAAGCGCGCGAAACTCCCAACAAAATATGTTCATGAAACTTTTCCGGGAAAGTCCCTGTTTCTATTTATATTATTACATTTTGCTTTATTTTACACACCTTTAATTTCTAATTTGTTTTATTTAATAATAAACGACCTCAAATTTACATTTGTAATTGAATTTAAAAATTTAAAGCTGTTTTTTTGTAAATTATCAATGCTTGTAGTGAGTCAGATGATTGATCATCTCGTAGAGCCACTTGGGCTGATCGTGCGGAGCCATGTGGCCGGCATTGCGCACCATAATCTCGACCAGATGCCCGGCATGCTTCACATAGCCGGCCACCTCGCCATCAATGCGCCAGATCTCACGAGGTGCGATCTTATATTTGGCTGCATCTTTGAACTTTAGTTTCTGCAGATAGTTGCGGGTCAAGGGATAGGCCACAATAATGTCCAATTGGCCATTGTAGATGCACACGGTGTAGTCGTCCAGGAGCTCAGCTATCCAGAGTGCCACACTGTCCATGACATCCTCCTTCAGATGAATCTCCACCTTGTTCTCCTTGTCCAGATCGTGGAACGTCATGTTGCCCACATGAATGGCGCGACGTGTGGCGCCTGCCTGCAGAAAGTCACCCAGCTTGGCCTCCGAGCCATCCGGATGCGTTAGCAGATAGTTGTAATACCAGCTGTAGCCCGTCAGGTTGCTGAAGATGGAGCCGTTGGTCATGTCGCCGTTTATAAGCGAATCGAAGACATCGAAGGCGCAGTTCATGTCCCGCTTCTCGATGCACTCGGCGCCCTTTTGCTCCGCATCGTGAAACTGGATCAGGCCGTTGTCATCGATCAGGCCCAGCTGGTAGAGATAGTCGCCATACTTGAGCTGGTGCAGCGGATCGGACAGCCCGTTGCCAATGGCCACGCCCTTGAGCGGAATATGGATACGCGCGTCAATGGAATTCTGGACCTTGTGTATATGATAGGCCAGAGCGGGCACATATTTGCCGGCATACGATTCGCCCGTGACCCAAAAGCCCGCGTTGCTGCTCCACTCGAAGAGCTCGTACAGCTGCATCACAGCCTCGTGCAGGTTGCGGCCCACATCCTTCTCGTTGCGCGCATAGCCCTCATCGTGTTCGGTGAAGCTGAAGCCGGTGCCGACGGGATTGTCAATGTAGATCAGATTGTGCGTCTTGCTCCAAGTATAGTTGCGCTTCTGCAGCTTGGCCTGCTTGTCCAGCTGGAGCGGACCGTTCTCTGTGAACAAGCCGAACAGCGAGGAGGCGCCGGGTCCGCCCTGCAGCCAGAGCACAACGGGCGCATAATCCGGATCCGTTTCACTTGGGAAATACCAAAAGAACATATTCGAATTGTAGCCCTTGTCCACGGTCAGATAGCCCGAATAGCTCTCAACGCCATGAAACTGCGTGCCATTAACGCGCGCCAATTGACGCACTTGCTCCTTGGGCAGCGTGGCATTGTGGATCAGCGGGGTTAGGAAGAGCGGCTGGCCCGGATCGACGCCATCGTTAAAGTACTCAAAGCGCGGATACGGATTGATGAAGCTGCGCCTATACGGCCGATCTGCGGCGGCAACAGCAGCTGCTGCTGCGATAATTAAAAGCACGCAATGAATTGCGCTTTTCATTGTTACGAGCTGAGCTATGGAATATCAGTTTTAATCAGTTTGCTGCAAATGTCAACGCCCCACCACTTACCCGTTGCGAGATAAGCTAACTTTGCACTTTTGCTGCTGCTCGGGTTGAAAATAGAAAATCGTCTGAGCCGGCAAAAATGGTGTTGAAAAAGCGCAAGTAACGATTCTTTTTGTAAGAGTTATGTAGTTCCGCTGCTGAACAAATGAACTAGTTGCAGCTGTTATCGAGCTCAGCTCTGTTATCGATAGCAAATCATCGTTTGATTTCATCGTTTTCAAACAGCTGTTCGTTTAAACAAAAATAGAGTTTAAAATTGCAGCTGATATTTTTAAGTAAAATTAAAATGAAATTGCATAAAATGGACATGCAAAACAAACGCCCACACCCACATCAATGTGAATGTCGCTTTACCCTACATAAATCACACAGCTAATGTCCGTTAACTGTGAAGTGTTTTAAGCGTCAACAACGCCGCCCTCATTTACCGCTGTTTTGTGAGTCATGGGCAGCGACGCTTTCGTGGGAGCAGCGCTGCTTTCGCCGCTGCTGTTGTGGCCCCGAAAAGCGGCATCGCAAACATTCCAGTTCAGGCAGCTAAAAGTATTGGACGCGCGCTCTCTCACTCTTAACAATTGTACGTACAACCAAATTGCCTGATTACGCATTTCTCACACCTACACCCGCCCACAATTAGAAAAAAATGTTCGATTTCAATTTGGAATTTGCGCGTGGCGGCGCCTCCTTCACCAGCGAGCTGTTCCAGCTGCTGGCCGCCGGCGGACTCAAGCAGAACATCGTCTTCTCGCCCTTCTCCATACAGGCGTGCCTGGCGCTGGCCTTTGCCGGCGCCCAGGGCGAGACGGCCGACGAGATAGCCAAGGGTCTGCATTTTGTGTCCAATTTCCCACCGGAAGTGGCGCAAACCTTCCAGTTTGTGCTGCAGAAGTACAAGGACAGCGACCTGCTGAAGGTGGCCAACAAGCTGTACGTGCAGCAGGGCAAGCAGCTCAAGCCCAGCTACGAGGCGACCATCAAGACGGACTACAACTCCGAGGCGGAGTCCATTAACTTTGCACTGAGCGCTTCAGCAGCGCAATTGATCAACGGCTGGGTGAATGCCAAGACAGAGGGCAAGATCACCGAGCTGGTCACGGCCGATAGCTTCGATGAGAACACGCGCTTGGTGCTCCTGAATGCCCTGCACTTCAAGGGCAGCTGGGCGCACAAATTCGATGAAGCGCGCACCGAAGCGGACGATTTCTGGATTGCCGAGGAGCAGAGCGTTAAGGTCAACTATATGAATCAGAAGGCCAAATTTGGCTATGGTCATTTTGAGGATCTGGGCTGCACCGCACTCGATATGCCCTACAAGGACTCCGATTTGTCCATGCTTGTGCTCTTGCCGCAGGAGCGCGAGGGCCTCAAGTCGCTGGCCGAGAAGCTGAAGAGCGTCAATCTGGTCGATCTGGCCGCCAAGCTGGCCGTCGAGGAGGTCCACGTCAAGTTCCCCAAGTTCAAGGCGGACTACTCCATCGAGCTGGCCGACAAGCTGCAGCAGGTGAGCAATACGTGCTCTATTGACACGTCGCTAGTTTCTAGTTTCTAGTTTCTAGTCTCCATATCAATGGAATTTTCTTTCGCACCTTATTTATTAGCTGTTATCTTTGTAAGCACTTTCATTTCGGTGGCTTATCATGCTATAATGTCTTAAAGATAATTTATAGGGTATTTATATTTAGCTGGCGCATTTTGCGGTTCCCGTTTAAGATCATGTATCAGGCATTATGTAAGAGACCCGCGCTGCAGTCTAGCTTGACACATTCGCATATCTTATCTTAAGCTAACTTAAGAGCGTGAGGTCATCAATAATGTACTTAATCATTGTTTATTTTTATAATATCGACATGTTTATTCATTCCCCGCCAGCTGGGCATCACGAAAATGTTCAACGAGGGCGCGGAATTCAACAATCTGCTGGAATCGCCGGAGGGCATTTTCGTCTCAAAGGTTGTGCACAAGGCAACCATCGAGGTAAACGAGGAGGGCACCGAGGCAGCCGCTGCCACCGGCATCATCATGATGACGCGCATGATGCTGATGCCGCTGCAATTCCAGGCGGATCGCCCCTTTTTCTATGTCATTTGGAACAAGCGGAATATTGTGTTTGCGGGCGCTTTTGTCAATGCACCAACTGCTTAAAAACATACAAATCGCATTAATTTATTATTTTGATATTGATTTCCTTAAATAAAAAGCAACGGCACACAAAAAGGTCATCTTTTCGAATCAATTAACTTTATTTAAGGTGTAGAGGCTAAATTGGCATATGGACTCTTGTAATGTGCATTGGCAGCACTGGCTACGCGCGCAGCTTGCTATTTTTTCTTTTATATTTAAATATAAATAGAAAATGATTTATCATGAGCCTTGGCTTCACGCTCATGTTATTAATCATTATTTTGCGTCTGATTTTGTTTAGAAGCAAAGGCACGTTAAATCTGAATATTTGAATTTGTTGTACATCGACTAAATCCCATTGGCAGCACTGGCTTCGCGCGCAGCCTTTCATTTGCATTGCTTAAAATTTACATTTAAAATTCGTCAACTAAATTGTCGACTGGGCTGTTTTTCATATGCTTCGTGCGCAGCTTATTAATTGTTATTTTCATACTGATTTGGTTTGCAAGCAAGGGAACTTTAAAAGGGAGTATTTTCGTTTGATTTAATATTTGAATTTGTTTAACATGGACTAAATTGTCATTTTCATGTACATTGGCAGCACTGGCTACGCGCGCAGCCAACTTCAAATGAGTGTGACCCCACTCTGCGCGCAGCCAACTTCAAGCGAGCGCTCAGTTCATTGAACTGGTTCAACGCTGAACTACGCAGCTCGTATTAGTTTGTGCGAAAAGAAAACAAGCTAAGCATAGATATACATATATATATATATGTATATATATAGACGATGCGGGCTGAACAATTAACAGTCATGTGGCAATAGGCAACATTCTTCGCATCAGCTCAACAATTAAAGCAATGTCACTGCGTGCACTCAGGAAGCGGGATACTCAATTCAGCCAGAGCTCTGTCAGCAACGCTAAAGCAACGCTCTTCAAGAAAGCCAACAGCAGCAGCAGCAGCAGCGGCAGCAGCAACAACAACAGCCCAGCGACGACGTCACCGAAACGCTCGTTAAGCAAATCTATCGCTGGCAGCAGCAGCAGCACACGAAAGCTGTTGCGGCAGCGCCAGCTGCTGGGACGCGGCACACATTCCAATCCGGATCTAACGGAATTTCAAAGGACCAGCAGGACTCACCTGTTGCGCCGCAAATCGGAGAGCGATGCCCGCGCAGTAAATCTGGCCGATCAACGATTTCGACGCCTGACCGCGGCCAACGCAAAGTCCGAGGTGTGCCTGCAGCGCATCAGTTCGCATAGCTACGAGCAGCCGCCGAGCAGACGACCGAACGCCATGCTGGGTGGTGCGCGTTCCCATCGGGATCTGACCGTTGTGCAGCTGGAGGGCGCAGGCCGTGCGCCGCGCCGCATGAGCGAGTGCAGCATGGGCTACAGCCAGAGCAGCGGCGGCGGCGGCGGTGCCTATTCGCGACGCACCAGCTCCATGTTTGCCAGCCAGATGACGCTCTCGTCGAGCAGCGCCGCAGCGCCCGTTGATCCAAATGCGCCGCTCCGCGTCCCCATCATTGGCTACGAGGTGATGGAGGAGCGTGCACGCTTCACCGTCTACAAGCTGCGCGTCGAGAATCCCGATACGAACGACTGCTGGCTGGTCATGCGTAGGTACACGGACTTTGTCCGGCTCAATGGGAAGCTGAAGCAGGCCTTTCCGCACATCAATCTGTTGCTGCCGCGCAAGAAGCTCTTTGGTGACAATTTCAATGCTGTCTTTCTGGACAATCGCGTCCAGGGCCTGCAGATGTTTGTCAACTCGATTTTGGCCAAGGAACAGCTACGCAAGTGCAAGCTGGTGCGCGAGTTCTTCTGCCTGGACGAGCCGCCCTCCTACTCGGAGTCCATGGAGGAGTGTCGGGTGAGAAGCGGAGAGAGATATAGTAAAAGCTTAATATAACTAATGAGAATCCAACTTACAGGCAATCTTCGAGGCCCAGGAGGAGACCATAGCGCACCTGAAGCTGCAGATTCAAACCAAAAACGATCTCATACTCAGCTTGCAGCAGAAGCTGCGCGAGGAAATGATCGACAAGGAGCAGCTCACAGAGGAACTAAAGTAAGCCAAACATTTGAGATATATAAATATGCCTATGTATATATATAAACCCATGCAATCGACAGAAATCTCAACCTGGACTGCTCGCATTGCTCCTCGGCAAACGACAGCTCGGCGCTAAAATAGTTAGGAACAGGCAACAAGGCTCATCGTGTGCGTGTGTGTACAATATTATGCTGAGCATAACTCTATACACTCGCACGGCATATATCTCTCCCAAGTGCATATCAGGCGATCCACAAGGCTCACTATACACATAAATATACACATCAGAAGTGCTTTAGTATTCAGTTTGATATTAAGTCTTAAAGAAAATACAAATATTTTTATATATATATATATATATGCGGATTTTTACGCGCTGAACATTAAACTTAGCAATTAGCACAATAAAATTTACAATAATAATATTTAATTAAAATCTACTAGATCTATAAATAAGCTATATAACTATTAAACTGGCCCGAATCTCGATCACAGGCTCGTCATCGCCGGCGGCCGTGCGTAGGCCTTGGGTATGAAGCCGTATTTGCGCGTCTTGGGCGCATATGCCCACAGCCAGCCGTCCACGGTTTGATTGTTTAGATCCGCATAGATCCAGTCGCCGCGACGCACGGACAGATCGTCGGGCGCCTGCGCCTTGTAGTCGTACAGCATGACCAGCTCCGTGCCATGGTAGCGCAAATCATCTGTGCCTATGCCCAGTTGTTGCTGCTGTTGTTGTTGCTGCTGCTGCTGTTGTTGTTGTTGTTGGGCCTGTTGTCCCTGCTGTTGGAGCATGCTTTCCATGGCATTCAGGCCGCCACCCGTTAGATTCGCATGATGCTGCATGTTGCTTTCGTTGAGAGGCGCCGCGGTTGGCGTTGCCTTCTGCTGCTGCAGCACGCGCACACTGTCGGCGGGATAGATGAAATTGGCTGGGACAAAGCCCTCCTGGCCATCGCTGCGCATTATCCAGAACCA